CCACCAGATCCCAGGCTGAGAAACGAAACTAGTCTCACAGTTAATTAAAGTGGAGACACTACACAGGCAAGAGTACAAGGTCAGAGATAACAAGGGGAGAAGCCAGAGGAAAGGGGTGTGGCACCCGCTTGCACACAGGTCAGACAGGCGAACTCTAGGCCCATAAACAATATGGCAGCATATCTGACACTGGGATACAAATGTGATACCAAATCTCCTGCATCCGGAGCTAGGGCACTTGGCCCTGCGTTGTAGCTCAGGAAACCCCCAGACCTGCTTTCTCCCTTCTTGGCGTCACTCTGCCTGTCAGAGCTGTCTTTGCTGAAGAAAGCGGAGGATCCATGTGAAGCCATAGCGAGAGAACTAAGCAAACCTGACGTGCTTCACTTCCAGGGTTATCCGAGGCCTCCCACGTGCAGTCTCTGGAAATGTCAGCGCCGTCTTTTCTCTAGGGAAGCTCCAAGGGCGACTGATTAAAGGGCGTTTGGGAGGAAGCGTGGAGGGGCCGGGGAAAGAGCCGACTCCGGGATCTAGCAGGCAAATCAAACGGACGGGGGGAATGCCAGACAGAGTTCTGCTGGGTCATGTTGTGGGTTTGTCGAATCCCGGTTCTGCTGGCCGGGTGCTTCTGGCTTGTTCGTATGCAGAGCAGGAAGGGAGCAGCCCCCTCCCATTATCCTCCCACACCAACGGGTATTTAGAGATACTCTGAATGCGTACATGGAGGTCCCAGTTATCTGTTGGGGTAAATAGCTGTTGATAGTTCTATCCGCCATGAATTTTTCTAACTGCTTTTCAGAAGCCATTTAGGTAATTGCATGCTCTGTGCAGAAGTGCTCTCTTTTTCCGTCTTGACGCTACTGCCAGAGAGAGAGAGAGAGAGAGAGACCCCCCTTCTGTGTGCCACAGAGGCGTGTCGCGACAGGAAGAGAGAGAGAGAGAGAGAGAGAGAGAGAGAGAGAGAGAGAGAGAGAGAGAGAGACCCCTTCTGTGTGCCACATAGGCTTCAACCAAACGGAAGTTTGACTGGGTGGCTGAGTGGAGAGAAAGGCAGATAGACAGTGGGGTGGTTACAGTGATTTGGAATCCCCACCCCCCGCAAAACTCAAGGATGGGCCCCCAGAATCACTAGGGGGGTGGTCTCCTGTACCACAGATGATTGCCCGCAGGCTACCACTGTGGCTGCAGAACCTCTGGCTTTGTGGCTGTAGGTCTGTGGCCCCGTCTCCCTCCCGAGCGTCAGGCATCATGATCA